CGAAACTAATAGTCCTTCGGGATTCAAATCCCTTTGGACTAAAAATTTTAACTGGATTAAAAAAAATTCTTTAATAGTTACTATATGTAAAATGGTATTAATGTTATATTTCTTGTACCTAGTAATAATTAAATAGTTTAAAACCTTAACAGACATAAAGTGAGTTATCGCTTTGTCTGAAGTAATTACAAAAACTTGAAACGATTTAAACAAACCTTTTTACTTAAACAGAACTTAGAACATAAGTGCGCGTTCTTCTGCTACCAGAATTAATCACCACTTGGGGAGGTGCAGTTAAAGTAATAGTCAGTTTTCAGTTTAAAACATAGACTAGCAGTCAAAAACTACACAGTAAAATTTAAACGTAAACTAGTTTAGAATTTCTAACCTGTTAGTTAGATTTAAATGTCGCAGCCGAATAATTACAGACTTATCAAAGCTGGAAGGAAATAACGCAATGTGCCGTGAAAGGCAGAAACACGCTGTATCTTACAATCGCAAAACCTCAGCGTGTATATGAGCCAGTTTCCCTTAGAAAGTCCTCCACAAAGATATCCTCCCCTTAGGCAGTAACCCTAGTGTGCTTAGCCATAATCAGTCCATATTGAAGAGGAAAGAATTCGATTGCGTAGTATGCTAAATGTGTTGAGATCTTAATATCTAAGAAACTTGGCAGTGGAGGCAGTTTTAATTCCATTTCTTTTTTCCAGTTGACGTTTGTGGCCACAATTCACTTGGCACTGCAGTCATACTTATTCAAGAGCATTTACATTTTGATACTTTTGCGAAAACGAGCACCGAGAAATTACATCCTAGCAGAGTAGAGAGCGAAGCTGAAGTGCGTAGTTGTCCGATATGGAAGCACACAACGAGAGAGGTTTTGGTTTGCGTTAAAAGTTTCAGTTCCCAATTATTTTGTCATCAGCGCTGTACAGGTCATGCAAAATCGAATGATCTAGAAATGACGCAGTCCAGAGAAGTTATTAAGATTTTAAGAACAGAGAGGGAGAATTAAAGTTTTACCGTTAGTTTAAATTATAATTTTTGATTTATATATTTTTTTATCTCACATCTATTATGTTACCTGGCTCAGTGAGCTTAGTTTTTGTTCTTATATGTTGGTAAATTGTGCACTTTTTGCTTTAAAAGTGATTGAATTATGCTGTTTTTATGTTTCGTTGAAGGTTTTTATGCCTTTAGTTATTCTGCATATAATAATTGTAAAAATATCAGCAATTTAAAAGTTTAAGAGGCGTGTTGAGCCTAATGAATCGCCATTTGTTTACATCTGGAACTCAGTAGTTTTTGTTTCAGTCAGTTTCTACGTCTTCAATGTCTTTTTGCCGAGTGGGATCAAAAGTAAACTTTCAGTTTGGTGCACAGAAAAATCTGCCTTCATGCACGCTGGTCGAATTGCTTGTTTTTGCGTAGAAAATCAAAGTTAAATTGGGAAAAAATTTTTTCTTAACTCTTTTTAACTCTCTTGTTTGGTGTTTAATGTTTTTCTGTATTTTACAATTTTTCATAAAGATGTTGTGAGTTTATATGTATTTTTGCCTTCCCGCAAAGCGAGAAGTAAATTGATGGAATGAGAAACATACCTCTAATAAAATTCGAGGAAATAACTTTAAATGAATGCATCGAAAATGTATATAATTTAATAGAACATGTAATTTAATAGTAAGTCATGTGGTGGCCACATCAGACTTTTTCAATAAATAAACCGCGATTAATGCATTCAGATGCAGTTATTAGAACTAATTTTAAAAAATCCAAGTTTTTCGTATTTCATTTTTTACTTTTTAAAAGCAGCACTATCAATGTCTGCTAATTTTTTCTGCTCTTTTCTTTACATGCTTTTTCTTTATACAAACGAATTAAATTGTTTATTGTTGAACGAATTTTAAGGCAATGTTCAATATTGGATCAGCTTTCCTAATATTCTATGACAAAGCTTCAATTATTCCAGTATTTTTTATATAGTTGTTAAGTCTCGTGTAGGCATTTCAGCACAATCATTGTTGTCTAATTGTTTTCCCGTTTTTCATAATGCATTGTTCATCTGTGTTAATAAGTGTTTTAATTATCATTAGCCTTCGATCTAATGCATTAAATTGCATTAACGGAATCAAATTGATTGAAATCAGGTTGGGTTCAAGTTCTTTATATTTCGATATGTTGTTAATGCTTTCAGAAAAATGAGTTTCAAAACTAATGAAATTATTTGCGCAATATGTTATGATTTGTTTTCATACTGCCCTCACATTGCTTGCTGTTACTTCAGAGCATCATGTTTCGCCTGTATTTTTGATAATGTTTCTGATGTAGCTCTTCTAAAATTCCGGTATAGTAGACGCATTTTCTTCTGTCGTAGCTTTTATGGCTTGTAAAAGGTGCTTTGAAAGTAATGGGCTTTAATGTTGCAATGACATCTTAAATTAACGTCGTGTTTTGTGAAGAAAGGTTAGTTGTGTGTTATCATTTAGATCACAGAGATCAGTCGAAATGATATGAGACACTATCTCGTTGATATATAAAATAATGTACGACAAAAATTGTTGGAGAACCAGCCTTCAAATAAAACCTTTCTGACCTGTGCTTTCTTATATGAACGCAAAAGACTAGAAGATGATTTTTTGATAAAATATTAAGAACTGTACACAAACATCGATTTTATTTTGAAATCCCTTCTGCATTTTCACCCAATTGCAGGAGGAGACTACCTTTTGGAAACGCAATGCACGACGTTCCATTGGCTACAATAAAAGGGGCTTGACGGCAATTTTGAATAAACCAGTTTTATTAGCGTTGAATATCTGTTCATCTTTGTATATTGTTTTTCTTAGGATTTTCCTTCATTACTTCGAATATTTTGAAACAGCCTCTTTATCTGCATCAGAACATACAATAAAGCTTCGTTCAGACGGGGGCGTAAAGGGCATAAGAAGTTAAAGCCGAGCTCCGTTGCCAAGGCAACCAGTCTGTGCAACGTCACAAAATCTGGTTTAGGGCTTGTGGCATAGGGTTCAAAGTTTTCAACTTTCGAGTTTGGGTTAAGCGTCGACCAATCAGAGCGAAGCTAAAATGAAATGGCGTTCTACAGAAGATTTCGCTGTCACAAAACAAGCAGAGCGAACGCGGGAAATCAATCGAGCAGAACAGCGTGGGAAAGCTGTAGACACATCCACGCATGCGCAAATTTAGCTTCTCTCATTGGCCACGGCTTACACCCCGTTCTAGCAAGTGTGAACGGAATTCCCGTAATTTTATGCCCTTATGACTATGCCCTTTACGCCGACGTCTGAACACAGCCTAAAGGGCCGTTCCCACTGGGGTTTATCTGAGCTAATGGAGACAAATTACGTAGTCGACCCATCTTCCAAACCAGTTTTTTCCCAAACGGCAGCAAGTTGAAAAATCTGAACTGCAGGCATAGCGGAGCTGGTGGACACAGGGAACTGACTCCGTTAGCTCAGATAAGCCCCAGTGGGAACGGCTCTTAAAAGTGCGAATATTGTTGAACACCAATCGGTTTCTGTAAGTGGAAAAAATCACTTACAGCTTGCTGTAAAATTTGTACTGTTTTCTTAATTTCGGTATCATTAGTATTCGTTGTCAAAGTTTTATGATTTTGAATTTTCATTCGATTGAGTGGAACTCGTGTTTGATTTGAGTATTCGATCCACATGGTAAATAGCTGCTGCATGTTTACCATCGAAGTGCCTCAGTTTTAGTTTCTACTTTTGATAAAAAGCTGTAGCCATACATTACGATTTATACTGATCTTTCTTATACTTTTGATAAATGTTTGAACTAATGACTCGTCCATGAATGCTGGCAGCATGAATGGAACCTGATTCTACCCATTTGTAACGTGAATGCGAGCCACTTTCCTTTAGAAAGTTCTCCGTGGAACAGGAAGAAAGCCCTCATGTATTTCACCATATTCCAATAACCTAATCTAACCATTCAGCGATAGCTGACGGGGTACAAGAATGAACGATTCGAGCATAGGTAAATTGTAATATGTATTGCATCCCATAACTTTAAAATCGCACAAAAATAAACCGCTCAAAAAAGACACTACTGTGTAAAGGGAAAAAACATATATGTATTAAAATTTAATATACTTTTATATTAAAAATTAATTTAGTGTAATAATTTTTAACAGTTTAGTTAGAAGGTATTTCTCACGCCTTCTTAGCATGCCTTCGTGGTGCAATGGTCAGCACGTGCGACGCGTATTCGAGAGGTCCGTGGTTCGAGTTCCGGCGAGGGAATTGCTCATTTTTCATCTTTCTGCTTCGAAATAACCTAATGTCTCTACAGTGGCGCCCGAACTAAAAAAGGTGGTGGATGATGTTTCTCTACCACCAGGATAAGGCGAATGGGTTCCTTAATCCCCTGTCGTCCTTTAAAAGGGGGGAGTGTGTTAGGTATTTCTTCCTCCTTCTTAGCATGCCTTCGTGGTGTAATGGTCAGCATGCTCGATGCGTATTCGAGAAGTCCGTGGTTCGAGTCCCGGCGAGGGTATTGCTCTTTTTTCATCTTTCTGCTTTGAAACAACTTAATGTCCCTACATAGTTTTATTTTGTTCCAATTTAGTTTATTTAGAAATTTTTAGACTGGACTGAAGCAAACATAGACTGATTGAAGCCGAACTATGCAGGGTGTTGCTACGTAAATATCTAAATGTTAGAAATTCGCTTCCTTTTTAAACAATATAATTTGCAACATTTCCCGTGGAGAAGAAATTTCATGTGAATTTTTTTTTTACCGATAGATATCAGCGTAATGAACAGATAAATTATCTTTTGCAGACAAATTATCACTTCCCAGCATGCAGTGCGACAGAAAGTAAGAAAATCTGTTTATCTTTTTAACGAACCGAAGCGGACAAATGTTACAGAAAAAGGAAGCGTATGATAGACGCAGTTTTCTAATCTCTTTATTTTTAACTTTTTTTTTTTCTTTAAATGGAGGTTTGTAACACCTTGTTGAATGATATCTTAAAGGGACATAATTGTCAAGATCACTGCTGAAATCTGAGAGATAAAGTTCTACAGCTCCGTCGGCGTATTGCAATTGTAGGCTGGAAACATTCGTATTCTAGCGTTTAAAGGAAACGTTATGCGAGTGGAATTATCACTAAAGCATGATATTCAGATAATGCGCAACATTCTGTGATATATTTGTAAATATTTGTGCGATATATTCTTCAACTTGATTTCCGTAGATATGAAGTCGTAGATATATTTAACTTCAACGTACTTGCTGATTCATTTTGGCGATCTGGTTTTCGAGGTATGTATTTTACAATAGGTTTTTATAGTTCTTCAACAAAATTAATTACTCATCTACCAGTATTTTTAATTTGGTTCAGTAAATGTAATGGAATCATAGTCTGTGATAAATTATATTATACGTTTACATAGTATATGCATGCGATAAACTCGCCTCCTTTCTAGAAATTGTTTCTGTTATTATTTATTTTAGGACTTTTCTCTAATGTGACCAGCTCCATTGCGTTAACTCAGGAGCTTATATATCATTCCGGGAAAAAAATATTTTCCCAAGGAGTCAAATTTTTAGATGAATCAATATATAGGAATATGTTTATATCAAAACAAAAAATGCAAGCGTGAATTAGTTTAAAACCAAAACCCATATTAATTGTCATACGCGCAGAGTTATACTCGAAATTAAAGTTGAATGAAAGTAATTAGTTTTCACTGAATGATATAAAATTGCAAGCATGTTGTTCAGAAACCTTGTTGAACTGTCGTGTGCAAAAATTAATTCTGGAAATGAAAATGACCGGGAAGCAGTTAGTTTCTCATTAAATGAATTTCGGCAGAAAAAGATACTTTAATTAAATGTTTATGAAAGAGAGTCTATATTCTTATTAAGTTAGTCGCGTTATTTAGATTAACAAAATGGTTAAGATTCCCATCTCTAATTTTATTTTTTAATTTAATACCAAAATAGATTTAAAACTCATTAGTTTTTTTTTACTTGTAGAATTGCCTTAAAGTCCGTTGTGCTGATTATGCGCAAAGCGTTTGTTGTGACACAACTGTTGTAAATTATCAAAAAGAATACAGAATGGGTATTAAAAATCTTTCGTTACTTTTTTCTTAATTTGCTGTACATTACAAGAGCGGTAATGTGACGTATATTAATTTGTTGACATATATTAATTAATATATATTGTATTTGTTGACATATTTTGATTTGAATTTATATATACTGAATATTAATATTTAAAATCTCTAATGTGATATCAGCGTTTTCTTTTAAGTATAATGTTTGAAAGATATATAATTTTACAAAATGTGTGTGTAATTATGGCAAAGCCTAGAGGGCTTTTGCCTAAGGAGAGGGATGCCTTCGTGAAGGACTTTCTAAGGGAAACTGGCTCGTAAACACGTTACACATGAGGAAAACCACGAATACGCCCATGCAGCCAGTCCGTTCGCGGGATTTGAACCTCGGACCGAATTACCTGTGTTCAGCGACTTCACCGCTCGGCCGCTGGTGGGCCTACTTTACAGAATGAATTTTACTAAATGCAAACATAACCAATATGTTTTCTTTTGGAGTAACTAGGAGTCTTTTGATTATTATCGTGGATTCAAATAAGTTTAGTATATGAAAGCATTTTTGTAAGACTCATTTAATATTAATTAGCAGTGATTTGTATATTTACTGTGTTCTAGTGTAAGATTTGGTTTGGTTTATTTCATTATGGCAAAGCACTCGAGGGCTGTTTACTTAAAGAGAAGGATGCCTTCGTAGAGGAATTTCTTACAGAAACTGGCTCGTATACATGTTACACATGGAGGAAACCACGAAAAACCCATGCAGCCAGCCCGTTTGCAAGATTCGAACCTTGAACCGAATTACCAGTGTTCAGCGACTTTACTGCTCTGCCGCTGGTGAGCCTAGTCTAAGTAGAAGACTATATTGTAGTCTGCATAACAGTTTCTTCATCTAAAATATAACTATTAAATATATAACTATTAAAAATATAACAATTAAAAATATTATCTATTAAAAATAAACTTCGTCGCTAATGGTCATGTTTATTTACGACAGCCGGTATTCATTTATAAATTAATGTTCTTTCGTGCAATAAAATCGCTTTATTCTTTATGAAACTGAGGCATTCATTTCAAACGAATTATCATTTTAAGAATTTAAAAATGTACAATATAATCCATATAAACGAAATTTTATGGCTTGCGTGATAGTAGTGTACAATGCAGCATTATGACTTTTGGAATATCTAAATATACGAGTAATACCACTGAAGTGCGTTGTAATTGTCGTAAACCATGTTATGAGTTTCTTTTTTATTTATTTATATCTAATAAAATTTTTAATAAATATTAAACGATTATATTATCGAGCAGGGAAAATGTGGAGATTCCAGAAACTACTTCTTTACTTCCTTGTACGAAGTAAAAAGGAAGTATTGTAATCGCGAAAAGTTTCAGGCAGCATATTTCAACGAAAATATCCATTTTGACCGCTATCGAATGCAATTTAACGATGTTTTTGCGTCATATCTGTACGTAAGGACAGAATAAAATACTCTTTTCCTTCAAAAAAAATTATGAAACTGCTTTAAATTTAATTCTGAAGAGAATTTTTTGTGCCCTCTGTACGAACGTACGTGCGTACGTACGTATCTCGCATAACTCAAAAACGAGTAGCCTCAGAACGTTGAAATTTTGTATATAGGGACTGCTATAACATGTAGATGTGCACCTCGTATTTTGGTTGCATTCGGCAGTACCAAACGTATATAAATATATTTATATATATATCCACTCTATTATCCAGCTCAGCGATCTCAGTTTCTTTACTTTTATATGTTCGTAAATTGTATATTTTTTGCTTTAAAAATGATTGAATTATGTTGTTTTTATCTTCCGGTTAAGGATTTTATGCCTTTAAATCTGTGTGCAATATTTTTAGAATTATCAGCAATTTTAAAGTTGTTTAATTGTTGATAAGCCTGTTTTTAATGGCGGCCATTTATGTTTACATTTGAAACAGGAGACTAGTGGATTTGTTGCCAATCTAGAGAAATTTAGCTTCGCAACAACAAAGATAACGCATTCATTTATTATTGCCAATTAAATCATGCTTAATTCTTTCTGGAATTTTTTCGAGGAAATAAGCGGTTGAAATTTAATTTGTAATTTTTAATATAGATATTTTGAGTTTTTATGAATTTTTGCCTTCTCGCGAAGTGAGAACGGAATTAATTAAATGAGAAATACTCAATCGTCTGTGAAAAACTCTTTCTGTTTTGTTTTGTTTGCTTAATTTCTTTTATACATAGTTCTAGCTTTATTATAGTATTTGAATAGAACATGTGGGAACGATTAGATAATTCTTTAAATGATATACATTTTGTGCATTCTGAGTTATAATATGAATGAAATATAATACTGTTAAGTAAACCTAGCGCCAGAGTGTCGCTATGGTAAACAAAGTGAATTTTAAAGAATGCATTTATTCTATTGTGGTTTATGCGCTTTCGGCGAAGTAGGTTTAATTCAATCTAATAAGTTTAAATAAAATGCAAGAAAAAATGCGTATAATTTAATATTCCGTACTAGGAAGTCATGTGGTGTACACATCAGATTTCTTTTTTAAAGCAGCAGGGTAAAATAGCATTATTGTAATTGAACAAAAGCTTAGTTTAAAATCTGAAAATAATTTCGTGAGACTTATTTGATATTGAATTAAATCCGCTGATACCTATCCACGAATATAATAACTACAGTATCTAGATTTTAAGTACAGAGTTAGTTAAGATACAATAACTAATTGTAGGTAACTAGATTATTTTAGGAGATTATAAGAATTCTGTTGTCATTTCCTTCTTTCCATTGATTAGCTATAAAATTGCACGTATGTTACAGAAATTTAACTTTCGGGTTGTATATTCTCCTATCAATAAAATCCCGAGTTCCATACTCAAGGACCCCATTCCGGATATGAATTCCTGGGTTATTTACAGGATTCCTTGCCAGTGGGGTTTTATTTACATTGGTCAAACTAAGAGAGCCTTAAAATTTCACGTCAAGGAACATGAGGCACATGTTAGAAAAAAGGAAACACAGAAGTCTTCTGTTATTCAGCATTGTTGGTCCGAAAATCATACTTTCAATTTTTCTGCAGCCAAAATTATTTAAAAACATCTTCCATTGGTGAACTGGACTTTTTAGAGGCATTTCACATTCAACAAAATCTTTCTGTTCTAGTTAACGACCCGAATTCCAATCCATCTTTGCCTTCAGCCTTTAAGGAAATTATATGTTTTAGTTCTCGTTTCATCAACAGATGGTGCCAGTAGCTTAACTCTTGTCCAGTCATTCTTATCTTATCACTATATCTTATCTGGTTCATTTGCGCTTTTGCAGCTGAGGAAGATGGTTCGGTAAAACCATCGAAACTAGCACTGTGAAAATTTGAAAATAAAATGCTGATTTTTGTTGCTTGACTTCTAAATTAATGCATAGTTAGTCTTTGACTTCTGACAAAGAGAGGTTTACTTGCAATATTTCTTGTATGAAATTTTAAGTTTAATTCAATATTGATAATAACAATTATTCTGCTGATTTTTATAAGACTAGAATGCAATAAAACTATACCAGTTCCTTAACCATTTAAAATTTTAAGAATTTGCTAATCATCTTTATGTAAATTAGCCGATATTCATATATTAACTCCTTCACAGGGAATTCGCCCGTAACGCTCGTGCATTCAGACATCGGCTGGTTGTCCGAGCGCTTACGTCCATTTTCTACTCGGTGCTTTACCTCCATCAAGTTCAAAATGGTTCAGTGGTTTCGGAGTTGTTAAATGGCATGCCAGTCATTCTTTTGAAGAGAATAAAGTAGCTCTCTTATTTGAATTCACCATTTCTCCATTTTTACTTCCTTGTAAGAAGTAAAATGGAAGCATTGTAATCGCGAAAAATTTCGGGTATCATATTTCAAAGAAAATACTGATTTTGACCGCTATCCAATGCAATTTAATTATGTTTTTGCGTGACATCTGCAAGTAAGGACAGAATAAAGGACTCTTTTCCCCCAAAAAAATTATAAAAACTGATTTAAAATGAAGAGAATGTTTCGTGGCGTCTGTGCGTATGTACGTACGTATCTCGCATAACTCAAAAACGAGTAGCCTCAGAACGTTGAAATTTTGTATATAGGACTGCTATAACATGTAAATGTGCATCTCGTATTTTGGTTACAATCGGCCACACAAAAAGTTTATAAATATATGTATATATATATATATCCACTCTGTTACTCGGCTCAGTGAGCTCAATTTCTTTATTCTTATATGTTTGTAAATTGTGCTTTTTTTGCTTTAAAAATGATTGAATTATGTTGTTCTTATCTTCCGGTTAAGGCTTTTTATGCCTTTAGTAAATCTGCATGCAATATTTGTGGAGTTATCAACAATATAAAAGTTGTTTAAGTGCAGCTAAGCCTAATGAATTTTGCGATGGCGGAATATTTGTTTACATTTCAAACTTGGCAAAATAGCGGATTCGTTGCCAATCTAGAGAAGCTAAGCTTTGCAACAACAAAAATAACGCCTTCTTTTATTATTGCGAATTAAATCATGCTTAATCCATTCTGGAATTTATTCGAGGAAATAAGTGTTTCAGATTTACTTCGTAAGTTTTAATATAGATATTTTGAGTTTTTATGTATTTTTGCCTTGTCGGGATGTGAGAACTGAATTAATTGAATGAGAAACACCGAATCGTCTGTGAAAAACTGTGTCTTTTTTGTTTTGTTTGCTTAATTTCTTTTATACATCGTTTTAGATTTATTATAGTATTTGAATAGAACATGTGGCAACGATTAGATAATTCTTCAAATGATATAAATTTATATGCATTCTGAGTTATAATATGAAAGAAAAGTAAGGGTGTTAAGAGAACCTAGCGCCAGAGTGTCGCTATGGTAAAAAAATATAGTGAATTTCAAACAGTGCATTTATTCTATTGTGGTTTATGCGCTATCTACGATGTAGATTTTATTCAATCTAATAAGTTTAAATGAAATGCAA